ATCTGTAAAAATCATACTGAGGAAAATCATTGTTTTTTAATGATTTAAATATTTTTAATTTGTGATATGATGATGATGTTTTTGTACAGGGAGGCTGTTGGCGTCTGTCGCTGTGTATCTCTGATATGATGATGATGTTTTTGTACGGGGAGGCTGTTGGCGTCTGTCACTGTGTATCTCTGGCACAATAATACACAGCTGTGTCTTCAGCTTGCATATTCTTTCCTTGCAGTGTTATTGTGTTACTGGAAGTGTCTCTGGTGATACTGAACTTGCTTTTCAGGGAATCCTTGTAGGCTAAGTTTCCAGCAGAGTCAATCAATCCAATCCACTCCAGAGCTTTTCTTGCAGGCTGACGAATCCAGCCTGTAGCATAGCTTGTAACGGAATATGAGACTTTACAGTTGATAGTGAGAGTGGCATCAGGACGGACAGTCAGAGACTCAGGCTGAGTGAGTTCATATGAATCAATACCTGTATCAAATCAAATAATACCTGTTAATAAGAGAGCATGATGCTTAAAAACTGTTAACAAGCTTTTTAGCAACAAAATGATGTATCACACAGAAAGTAGACTAAACTTACAGGATATCACTGCCAGAAGCAGCACTAAAGATGAAGAGATCATGGTTTGTTTCACAGCACAGTTTGAATGAACTGAAGCGATTCTTCACTCCCTCTAGTGATCAGATGAATATATAAACTGACTCATGCCTGCTGTTTAAATATGCAACAGGAGATTTACATAATCGTATGAAGCTACTAATCAAATCTACATGCTACAAAAATATTCATGTTAGGGCTAATATTATTTATTGCTCTCTTGAAATATGGTATGATTCATATGCACTTTTATATTCCTATTTATGAAGATATTTCTTTTTACTTTTTATTCAAGATGTTTTAGAGAAGAACTGCTTGTGGTTATCACTGTGTTCACTCTCGTGCATCGTAAGTCACTGCTGTGTCCTTAATCATCACATTCTGTCCTTATAGAGTTGTTTTGCTCCTGTAAGAGTCTCTAGTAACTTAAAAATCTGATTTTTAGTTCGCCGCTGTAACGTGTAAAACCACTACCACAAATCTACACATCAAAAGACATGTTGTGTTGAGCTTTTATAGTGAACTTCACTGCATATTTAACAGCATATTCTCATCAGGCTATATTTTACAGATTTTTTATTCTCTGCTGCCACCTGTTGACTTCTAGTAACAAGAGATAAAACAGCCAGTGTGGTTTTTGTTTAGCTGTACAAGACCTTCGTGTCACTGTGAGTCTCTTGCACAGTAATACACGGCTGAGTCTTCTGCTGTCAGGCCTGATAGTTTCAGATACACCATACTCTTTGAATTGTCTCTGGTGATTTCAGTTCGACCTTTGAAGGATTCAGAGTAGTCATTGCCACTGCTGTCACTATTAACACGTGCCATCCACATGTAACATTTTCAGGGTTGATTTGATTTGCATTGGGAGGGTCACAAGGTGCAATCATGACTGATAGGCCAAATTATTAAATTACAACATAAACCATTACCAGTGTGAGTGATAAAAACATTTATTAATTATATTCTGAATATTTATCTTTTCGTTTACTGTTATATGCCTAATACAGAATTCTCTGTATATGGGACACAAATCTTCTATCTATCTATCTATCTATCTATCTTGTTATATGCCTAATACAGAATTCTCTGTAAATGGGACACAAATCTATCTATCTATCTATCTATCTATCTTTTATTTAGATTGTTGATTAAATATTATACTATAAATATATTATATACTCTTATATATACTCTTATTTGTATTATGATGTTTTTGTACAGGGAAGATGTTGATGTCTGTCACTGTGTTTATCTGGCACAATAATACACAGCTGTGTCTTCAGCTTGCATATTCTTTCCTTGCAGTGTTATTGTGTTACTGGAAGTGTCTCTGGTGATACTGAACTTGTTTTTCAGGGAATCCTTGTAGGCTAAGTTTCCAGCAGAGTCAATCAATCCAATCCACTCCAGAGCTTTTCCTGCAGGCTGATGAATCCAGCCTGTATCCTCACTTGTAACTGAATAGGAGACTTTACAGTTGATAGTGAGAGTGGCATCAGGACGAACAGTCAGAGACTCAGACTGAGTGAGTTCATTTGAATCAATACCTGTTGGAAAAAAATAAGAGAAATACAAAAGCGCATTCAGATCAGTGATTATTAACAATGCAAGAAAATTGTACTCTAAAAATTGATGCTCCGAAAAATATCTTACAATTTACACTTGCCAGAAGCAAGACTAAAACTGCAGAGAACATGGTGTAGTTTTCAGGACAGATTGCAGGAGCAGTTCGACCCTCCCTCTAGTGATCAGATAAAATGTCTTATGCCCACTGGTTAAATAATAAACCAAAAATTTACATAATCATATGCATTAGCTGTTGTTTTTTCCTTTAGTTTAATGATGCCAAACCCATAATTAATTAACAAAATTCAGTAGGCTGGCAACATTTTAAAGGTTCTCTTAAAAAGAACATTTTTTCACTATAAAGAGCCTTTTGTGGAATGTAAAGGTCTTGTATGTTAAAGTTTCTTAAAGGGATCATATGATGCAATTTCAATTTTTCCTTTCTCTTTGGAGTGTTACAAGCTCTTGGTGCATAAAGAAGATCTGTAAAGT